ACTGAGCATTGGCGATGAAGGGAGTGGATGTTTGTGGATGAAGTGCCAAACAGCTGCTTTGACCTGGATGGTTTCAATCTTCTCGTGTTGTTGGAGCTGCACTCATCCAGGCAGGTGGGGAGTATTCCAATATACTCCTGACCAGTGCCTTTTAGATTGTGAACAGGCTTTGGGAGTCAGGAAGTGAGTTACCCACTGCAATATTCCTCGCCTCTAAACTGTTCTTGTAGGCATTGCATTTATATGACTTATACAGTTCAGTTCAGTTTCTGGTCATTGGTAACCCCTGGGATGTTGACATTGGACTATTGAATGCCAAAGGTGGTGGTTAGATTGTCTCTTATTGTGGCACAGATGTTACTTGCCACTATTTGGCCCAAGCCTGGATATTGACCAGGTCTTGATGCATTTGAACATGCATTGCTTCAGTATCTGAGGAGTAACGAATGGTGCTGAACATTGTGTTGTCCTTAGCAAACATCCCAACTACTGACCTAATGATGGAGTGAAGGTTGTTGATGAAGCAGCTGAAGATGGTTGGGCCTAGGACACTACCCTGAGGAACTCCTACAGAGATGCACTTGATGTAAATTAAATTGCTAGTAACAGACGTTGGAATTGGCTAATTTGTACAGAAGATGGAAGATGGGAGGCTGTGTTGGTGAGTTGTGATGTCCAGTGTGAATGTGAAAGGCCAGCATTTTTTTACGATATCCCATTAACACTTTGAACGCCTGTTAGTACGTTTTCTTGAAAGGTTGTCGTAATTTTTAGAGAGTCTGAGGAAGGTGATATCAGTAAACTATGTTCCACTTAGATCATGATTCTGTTTTTTCCTTTACTGTATCGGACTAAAGCTCACACTTTGAGCAATTTAAATGTGGAGACCTGGAGCCCTATACCTCCCCTGCCCAGGCACACACTCAAGTTCAGTGCTGTAAGATATTCAACAACTTCACAAAAGTGGTCTCAGCCCTACCTCTGAAATTCGGCTCTTGTCCATATTTGGATCAAGGATGTGAAGAGACTTAGAGCCAAGTGGCCATAGCAGAACCTGAACTGCGCATCAGTGAGCGTGTCACTGTGGGTAAGTGACACTCGATGGCACTGTCGATGACCCATTCTATCACCTTGCTGATGACTGAGAGTGGACTGATTTGCAGTAATTGGCTAGATTAGATTTGTTCTAGCTTCTGTGGGCAGGAGGCATTAAGACAGCTTTTCTCTTTATTGTGTAGATACCAGTGTATTGCTGTATTGGAACAGCTTGATTCAAAGTGCAGCTCCTTCTGGAACTCAGATGTTCAATCTGATTGCCAGGATGTTGTCAGGACCCATAGCCTTTTCTGTAGCCGTTGTGCTCAGCTGTTTCTCTATCATATGGAATGAATTGAATTCATTGAGAATTGCACATATGATGCTGGGCATAAGTGGAGGAGGCTGAGAAGGATCATCCATTTGGCACTTCTGGCTGAAGGTGCAGCTGATGTTTTAGCCTTGCCTTTTGCATTGATATGCTGAGGATAAGATGTTTGTTGTGATGATTCCTGTTACTTGTTTAATTGCATATCACAATTCATGACTGGATGTGCAAGGACTTTGTTCTGATTTGTTGGTTATGGAATCTCTAGGCTCTGGGAATAATATGCTATTTGTGCTGTCCAGCATGCAAGCAGCCCTATTCTACAGCTTCAACACTTACACTCCATTTAATTGAGCCAGAGTTGGTCCCCTGAAAACTTGACATTTGCTTTGTAGATGGTGGAAAGACTTCTGGGGAGTTAGGGAAGTAAACTACAGCAGAATACCCAGCCTCTTACTTGCTTTTGTTATCACAGTGTTGTATGGCTAGTCCAGTTAATTTCTAGTCAGTGGTGATGGTTAAGTTCTCAGTGTATGGAGATGATCATTGCTTGACATTTGAGGGGTGAAAATGACACTTGCCATTTTATTAACTCAGCTGGCATTTTATCCAGGCATGAACTACTTCCTATCCAAGAAGTATTGAATGGAATCATCAACAAATATTCCCACTTCTGACCTTCTGATGGAAAGAAAGCCATCGATGAAGCACTTGAATGTGGTTGGGACTATAACACTCTCTTGAGGACTCCCCCTCACTGATGTCCTGCGGCTGAAAGAAATGGGCCCCAACAACTATTTTTCTTTGCGGTTGTTAGGGCAATGCTCATTGGAAAATTTTCCACCTGATTCACATCAACCTCACTTTTACCAGAGCTGTTTGCTGCTACATTTGCACCGTTCAGTTCAGACACTGATTTAAAATAACACCAACTGCTAATCTGCTGAAGCCCCTCCTCCAAAGCTAGCCCATGATCTTGAAGGCGCAAGTCAGTTTTCTGATGGAATACTTTCCATTTGTCTGAATGAGTGCAGTTCCAGCAACGCTGAAGGAGATTCACGTTAGCCAGGATAAAGCAGCCCACATCCACAAATGTTCACTCCCTGCACCACTGACGCACAGTAGAAGAGATATGTGTCATCTACGAAATGTGCTGTAGAAATTCACCAAGGCTTCTTTCTGAGTACCTTGCTGCACTTGACATTTGGGGTTGAAGATCCATGCGAATCCCATCAACTACAACTTCTTCTCCAAACAACTCACCATCCTGACTTGGAAATATATTGCCATTTGTTCACTCCCTCCCTAATTGCACTGTGAGTGTACCAACAGGAGGTTTACAAGAATGATCGGGATGAAGGACTTATCATATGAGGAGCAGTTGAGGACTTTGGGTTTGTACTTTAGTGGAGTTTAGAAGAGGTGGAGATCTTATTGAAACTTACAGAATACTGAAAATCCCGGATAGAGTGGATGTGGAGAAGATGGTTCCACTACCCTTTAGAGCTCAGCTGGGGAGGAATTTCTTCAGCCAGACGATGGTTAATCTGTGGAACTCATTGCCACAGAAGGCTGTAGAGGCTAAGTCACTGAGTGTACTTAAGACAGAAGTAGATAAATAGGTTCTTGATTAGTAAGGGGAGCAACGTATTAGGGGGCTAAGGCAGGAGAAAGGTCGAGAAACGTATCAGCCATGATCGAATGGCGGAGTAGACTTAATGGGCTGAATGCCTAATTCTCCTCCTATGTCTTATGATCTTAGACCCAAATGGACTGTAGCCTTTCAAGAAGTCAGCTGATCATCGCCTTCTCCAGGTCAGTTAGAGATGGGCAGTAAATGCCTGCAACCCCTGAAAGAGTTTATTGGTAAATGAGTGTTTTTAAAAAACCTAATCAAGCAGGTCTCCTATCTGATGTTCATATCATAGATTGTATCCTCAGGCACTTAGCACTGTTGCAATTATTCTGATCCTGCTAGGGACCATTAGCGTTTGAAGAAGAAATCTGAATGTCCATGAACTAACTGACAAAACTATGCCACAAGATTTCACAAAGTAAGCACCACTTTTTAACACATAGCTTATAAAGACTTGGATTGCAAATGCAATTTAAGTATTTACTTCGTCTAAGAGACCTAGAATCTTTAAAATCCCTGGAAGCAGGCCATTCGCCCCTCAAGTCCACACCGATCCTCTGAAGAGCAGCCCAACCAAGACCCAGCTCCCAACCTATCCCTGTAAACCCTGCATTTCCCATGGCCAATCTACCTAGATTGCACGTCTTTGGACTGTGTGGGAGGAAACCAGAGCACCCGAAGGAAACCCACACAGACATGGAGAATGTGCACACTCCACACAAATGGTCACCTGAGGTGGGAATCGAACCTGGGTCCTCTTATGAAACCTTGAAGATTCTTTTGAGGCCTACTGTCATCCAGTGTGGAGTGATGAGAGGTGTTGAACAAATTAGTTGCTAATGATTCTACTGTTATCTCTAAGCTGTCAGCATTACAAAATTAAGGAATATCTTTACAAGGTAGAAATAGTGTTAAAAATGGACAAAGATGTTACATAAAACTGCTTACATGTAAGCCTAATTTATCATTGCTACTTCCATAAATAAGTCATTAACAAATAAATATTCAAGTTTGAGTGACCTATAATGGTTGGAATGTTCTCCAGAGCAAATGCCTGAGGTAAATGCTTGTGTGCAGTTTTGGTCTCCTTTTCTGAAGAAGGATGCTCTGGCTCTTGAGGGAGTTCAGCATAAGTTTACCAGACTGATTTTAGGGATAGCGGGACTGATGTATGAGGAGAGATTGGCTAGGTTAGAATTGTTTTCACTGGAGTTCAGACGAATAACGGGGGGATCTCATAGAGACTTATAAAATTCTGACAGGACTAGACAGCGTAGATGTTCCCGATGGTGGGTGTGTCCAGAACCAGGCATCACAGTCTGATAATTCGGGGTAGACCATTTAGGACTGAGATGAGACATTTCTTCACCCAAAGAGTGGTGAGCTTGTGGAATTCATCACCACAGGAAGTAGTTGATGCTAAAACATTGAATGTATTCAAGAGGCGGCTAGATGTAGCCCTTGGTGAAAATGGGATCAAAGTTATGGAGAGAAAACAGGATTAGGCTATCGAGTTGGATGATCAGCCATGATCGTGATGAATGGCGGAGCAGGCTCAAAGAACCGAATGGCCTCCTCCTGCTCCTATCTTCTTTGTTTCTATAAACGGTGTGTGTGTGTGTGTGTGTGTGTGTGTGTGTGTGTTTCTCCTTCTCTGCAGAAACATGCCATAGGGAAATTACAGAAATTTTATGAATTGTTGTAGTAAAAGCAATGTGTTCAATGCACTGATGCAAAAGTAGTGATCGATTCTGATCTGGAAATATAGTGCAATAAATAACTTGTTGCAACACCAGCATTTGTCAGTGCTTTCTTTGCTGGCATATTGAAGTGTAGAATAACTTTGCTCCCACATTTTGAAATGATCAATTTATTGATGGCAGTTAAATTTGCAATGGTCAATTAACTCAGTTTATATGACTTGCAAGTAAGTCAGTGCTGTCTGATGTTGGAAACCAGTGATTTTTAAAAAATTTGTTATATGATTTTCTATTCTTAAAGCTTAATGTTGGAGGTGATGTTCTAAACATTACTATTGATCTACGTAAGCTTCAGAGTCTGCCAGCACATCTCAACCCAGGGCACCTTAGTAGCTTACTCCAGCAACATATCCTTGATTTACAGGTAAGTATAAATATAAGTTTGATTTTTAAGAAAATTGTTCTCTATATTAAGGCTATCTGAAAGTAACTAAATTAACTTAAATTGAGCTCTGTGTATGGCATGACTAAATTACAAGCTGCTGTTGCCACATATCTGGAAATAAATTCCTATATTCTTTGCTTGTATTGTGTATGAGGCAGACCAGAGCATGGTTTGTTATTGAAATTGGAACAGGACATGATACCCATCTGAAGTAGTGGTAAAGTAGTGATGTGCAGCTGCAAAATCAGAAATCTAGGGGGAGGCGATCGCCGAGTGGTAATATTGCTGGATTGTTAATCCAGAGACTCAAGTATTGTTCTGGGGATCTTGGTTCGAATCCGGCCAAAGCTGATGGTAGAATTTGAATTCAATAAATCACTGGAAAAATCCATCTGGTTCAACAATTCCCTATACGGAAGGAAACTGCCACCCTTGCCTGGACTGGCCTACACATCGCTCTAGACATGGTTGACTCTTAACTGGGCAATTAGGAATAGGCAATAAATGCCGGCCTGGCCAGTGATGCCCTCATCCCATGAATGAATTAAAAAACATATCAGAGGGTGAATACAGAGATCTTTCTGGATTGAGGCTGAGAGCAAAGACTTCTTGCAGCAACAGCTGTTATATCATTAATCATCAAAATAGTGCATTGTAAGCTCCCTATCTTCATTTTTCACCTTTTGGAATTGCATGTCCAATAAATGAAAGGCTGAGATTTGTAACAAATGTCTATTGCAGATCTGAAATAAAAATAGCAAAAGCTAGCTAAACTGAGCAGGTCAGGCAGCATCTGTGGAGAGAGAAACAGAGTCAACACTTTAAGTCCAATATGACTCAGCATCTTCCAAAATTTCAGTTCTCTAGTATCTGTGGAACTTTGCATTTAGTTTCTTGCAAGTGGTATTCGGGGTAAGCAAATGCTTGTAAAGTTTTGCTTCCATTGTTCGATCAGAAATGGTGTCAACTGAATGTTTTGTTTTGTATTTGCTGTGCCTCTGGAGTTCTTAGGATGTTCAGAACAGGCTCAAACTCATTGAAGGGAGTCATCTAATGATTAATTTTCTGTGAAGCTGTTCAAATGAGCAGGGTTTCTTGGGCTTAAAATGACACTGACCAAGCTATGGAAGTATGAAGCAATGTCAACACTGGCAGATTTGCTATTCCTGTCCTTGAGCCAATTGAGTCTGTGCTAGTGCATGGCATTGTTAATAATTTAAGCAACTAAACTGGCTCATTGAGGTGGGATGGGTTAGAGGAGAAAACGCATTACTTATATTGGGATTTTTCACACAATGCTCCAAATAATTCTGTGAAAATCAGGGTCCCATGGTTAGGGAGATCTTGCTAAAGATATAGAAGAAAGTATATTGGCAATTTGTGATGGGAAACTGTCCGATTCTGGCTGGTTAAACAGCGGCAAATTCAATTGATTCTTGAGCTTTGACACTACTCATAAGTTTTAAAGTTCCATCAATTGGATGCATCCTTACAGGACAAGAAAATGTTTGAACCATATGGGGCAACAGAAGCCTGGTGTATTTAACAATATCTTATGAGATTGGTGTTGGAAATAGCTCGTGTCAAAACATCCGAGCTGAATGTAAAAATGGAATTGATTGTGTATCAATTAAAGTAAAACGCCAATATAGTTTACTAACATTTTTATTGTTAGTGTGTTTCAGATAAATTGAAATTATTGATGAGAAAAGACATTTCTGGAATCGGAAGCACAGGAGAGACTATGCTGCCTACAAAACCTGATAATTATTCCAATTTAGCAATGACTGGCCATAAGCAAATTTCAAGTAAACCAATTAATCTAAAAACAAAAGTATTCCTAAATGACGCTCAAAACAAGTCTGAAGGACAAGACGAACCAAATAGCCAAACTGATACAGAATTGGTTCAAATCAAGGCAAACAGAGATGAAGTAAGATGTAGTTACATTTTCCGAAAGTCTCTCGGTTTTAATTCTTTGAATATCGTTTGCTTATTTTAGAGTAAATAGTGTATTGAAACTGTTTACCATGCAATTTTATTCTCTGGCAGATTGAAAGAAGAATTTCAGCATTCATGGAGAGAAAGCAGGCAGAGATCAATGAAAATAACATCCGTGAATTCTGCAATGTTATTAATTGTAATCAAGGTTAGTTTTTAAGATGTACTGCAGAGACCAAGGTACCAATATATATTAATTTTTAAGATGTATTAAACACTAGTGAGATTAGAAATATTAACCTGTCCACTTGATTCTCCATTACCATGTAGTAAAACATATCTAATAATATATATTCGAAGATTTTTTTTTGAGTCAACTTTTGTGCCTGTTTCATTTAATTTGAAATTTGAGAAGTATCTTTCCTGATTTCTTTTTACAATTAATCTCTGGAATAAATCTGTGTTGAACTAGAAAACAGCTGTGCTAGAACAGATGCAGTCTTCACACCACACCCTGGTTTCAAAAGTCATATAAAAGGTATGCCGATTTCATACTCTATAAAGGTATTTATTTTTCCAATATCTCCTTGAAGCTAGGGATTTATGTTTGTTCATCTATCAGCATAAGAAGGTTGAAATGTATTTTCAGTATGCTTGTATTTTTAAGTGAATATACACCTTGGGTATGTTTGACCTTGTGAAAATTTTGAATATATCTCATCACTACACTGCAGCTGAAATTGTGAGGACTTCATATCACTCATAGACTTGTGTTTAAATGTAGTAGATTTTTGAAATTGTCACTATTTTGAGTACATCTGTCACTATTGAGTTTTCTCTTGTGTGTATTAAGTCAGCCAGAGTAACTTTATAAGAGTCAAATTTCTGCCCGCACTGGCATAGAATGTAGATCACAGTGACAGGCCATTTTCCCAAACTAGGTCATGTGCTGGTATTTGTACTTCAGAGGAGTTACCTCCTACTATTTTCATGTAACTCGACTAGCATGGCCTACTATTCCTTCCTCCCTTGTGTTTTATGCAGCTTCTTCTTCAATGCATTTGTACTATATGTTTTAACTACTCCTTCTGGTATTATATTCCATGCTGTCTGCACTTGCTAAGTTAAAATGATTTCTCCTGAATTCCCTATTAGGTTTGTTAGTTGCTAAATATTGTATAAGAACTTTAGTTTTGGGCTTTTTCATTACGGGGAACATCTTCCTGACATCTGCCCAAACAATGCTTTTAATAATATTTAAAGAAATCCATCAGATCACACCTCTCTTTTTGTTTTATTGGGTACAAATAAAGTCCTATTTTGAAATTATTTGAGAAATGTGTTGTATAATCACCCTCATTTAAACAAGTTTTGAATCAAGAATTGGAAGAGGGAAACAGGCTGAAACACACAATCTTAGAAAATGCCTTTGGCTATTAAAGTCTAAATTTGTTTGCTTTCGTTATCCAAGAAAGAAGAAAGCCACGGTGATCATGGGCTGAATTTTCAAAGGAGGGGCAATTACAGTCAAATTGCTACATCATTCCTTTTCATATATTAAGAATGAGCTCTGCATTTTTTTGTAGGAAATTTCAATCACAATTTGGAGGGTATCTTAAATCCAAAAGGTATCTTTTAGTGCAAGATAGTCAGGGGAAATGAAACCAAGTCCCCTTTTCACAGCAGCAGTTGCCATATTCTGTGATTTTTTTTTTTTAAACATCCAGCAGCAGAAAGAGACACTTTAACTACTCGTTGTGGACGTGTACGAATGAAGTTAGGGTGCTGAGTTCATAGGGTGCCAAAGTATGATGGGGAGTACAGTTTTGTCAGGGAGAGGATAGTGGATGCCCTGTCTGTAAGGGGAACGGTGTCAAGTCCTGCGGGGCAGGGGAGGGTGAATATCAGGGAAGAGAGCATGATGTCAAGTCATAGCCTTGGGGTAAGGAGGGTTTATGAGGCATCTGGGAGATATTGAATTGGGTGCATGTGTATTAAGTTTGGGGTAAGTTTAATAATTACCTAGGAGTTAGACTAGGTTTATAATGTTTAACTATTTCTAACTACTAACTGTAATGGAACTCACCATTTTATCCAATTTTAAATGGATTCTATGGGAGGGTTCCAGGTGCAAGGAAATTGCCTATCGGAAACTTCAATTTCCCATGCAGTTCCTTTAGAGTCTGTTACACCAGGGTGTCCACAAGGTCCTGCACAACTCCTATCTATGTTGTAGAAACTACTTTTAGGCTGTTGGAAAATCCGACTCAATGTTTCAACTTGTTCCAGTAGGTCTTTATAATTGGTATCTTGAATCCAATAATTTGTTTTAACAATTGTATCTTCAGTATTAGTGTCTTCTTTTGAATACAGCTTGCTCTAAATTGTAGGCAGATCTTCAAATTTATCTTATTCAGCAATCTAAACAAAATCAAAATTATTATTTGTCCTTCTGAAGCAACTAAATAATTGATTAATCTAATATTGCTTCAAATTGACTGGAAATGTAAGCATCGCAAAGAACTTAAGTCCTTTGTAGATCTCATCATTATTTTGTACTTAATGCTTTCTACCTTCAATTCCTCCTTAACATCCTAGTAAAAAGTGCAGACTTGGAGCCATCCTCATTAATTTTGTTACCTGCCCAAAATTTTCCTGTTGATTCTGAGACATTACCTTTCTCGATCTTCCACCTGATTTTGTACTTCTATACACTTCAATAAATGCTGTTTGAACGTGACCTGTGCCAGAAAATCTGCATCTGTTGCGCATCCTTTGTTACCAGTTGGAGTTGCTTTTCAATCAAGTGACTTGTTAGGCTGCTTCAGAGACTAATGAGTTATATTTTACATTATGGAGCTTGAGTCATAAGTAATCTAATCTGGGCAAGAGTGGCAGAGTTCCTTCTGTGAACAAGTTTGACTTTTTCATCTGACGACTTCCATCATCTTTCCTTTCCTTTTGTTCTTGGTTTTTACCTGTTATATTTGTGGTCAAGCGACCACGAGCCCAAAGTTGGACATTCTAAATTGACCCACAGTTGGAGAACCAAGGCCTGACAGAAAATTGGCTGAGCTAAATTAAACAGCAGCTAGTGTCTATTAGTTATAGAGAACAGTGGAAACTAAAATCAAAGAGATACAAAGGTTCAAGAGGAACCTGTTACAGCCACCCTGAGTGTTGTGTATTAGAGAAATGTTGACCAGATGTTCTAGCATCCTGACAGCCCGAGTATGTGCACTTTACACCTCGTGGCATGGCAACAGTGTGAAGCGTGTTGACACAACTCCATTGGATGATTTGAACTCAGCTCATGATTCCATTAGTCAAAGACGACAAAACATTTTGGAAGGTCGGGAAGAAGGGGAGATAAGAACACACACCTGGATACCAGACCCTCAGTGAAGACTGAGTGAAAAATGGCCCAGCAGTGGAGCTCCAACCACCTGGAGAGAGAAAATCCACCTAATTCCTGAGAGACCCTGCTTCGTGGAAGAGAGCCAGCCCAATATCAGAAAAAAGGAGATTCCGAAAGCCCAGCTTAAACATGTGGATTGTTGTGGGTAATCACCTTTCGCAGACAGATAGAGCTAGATAGAGAATAAATATTGTGAGAATTTGGGAAATGCTCACATAGTCTTTTAATAAGGAATGTTTTGTTAATAAAATTGAATTGAAATGCAAACCAAGTTCTATCTCACTTTGTCCACCTCACTGACAAGCTAATGTGTTTTAAATACATAAACTAGTCAAAGTGTCCAAAGCACGGATGACAGATTATATTCCTTTGCAGAACTTAATCATGTTGAGATTCTAGTGCATAACCTCTGGGTTGCTGGCCCCATACTATAACCAATAAAGTGCTTCTGTATCCAAAAAAGCCTTGTTAATTGCAGTTTGGCAAGATCTCCAGTCATCATTAGATCAACATATAAGTTTATTTATGTTTGGATATCAGAGTTAAGCTATTATTTTCATTAATAGAGTTTTTAGGAGTAAGGGGGAGATACACTAACCAGGTCTATTGTCTAATTTCCCCCATTCCTGTTAGAAGTGTATCCCATTTGGTCCAGTTGCAGTACAGATAAATAATCATTTAGAATTACTGCAAAAGAACATTTTGTGAAAGCTTTTTGTCTTGCACTTACCAGGCCAACCTGCAAAAAGTGTGATGCACTTGCGCTTACTGAATGCTGCATGTATTAACAGAGCAGACCATGTTATTTACAGATGGAAAGAACTTGTATCTGCACCTTGCCAATCTCGGCTGAACAAAATAGACGACAGGGATGACCAGAGATTGGCTAAGGACAGTGCTTTGACCAATCAGAGTCACCCTGCCTGGTTTAAATTTAAACAAGCATGACAGTTAACTATAAGTCATCATTTAACTCATGTTTTTCAAGGCAATGTCTCTACCAAACCAGAGTCCTCTTGCCAACCAATCAGCATGCTTTTCTCATATAACATAAAAATGTTGTTTTCCTTTACATTGGTGTTCTTGTGAATTGTCACATTGAGTGCACAATGAAAAGCTTTGACAAAATGTCATTCCTTTTTCAGCATTACAGATGCTTAAGCAAACAATGTTGTAAAAATTGTGATGAGTTTGCTGAATCAATAATTATGCATTATTATTCCTGTGTAGCCTGCAGGACTATAACTTGAGTATGAGGAATGGTCGTGCTTTTGGTAATCCAGAGAAATAATATCAGTTTGCACGAAATGATGTAACATTGCATTCTGTAGATAATTATTGTTGAGTTTTGAAGTCATTTTGAAGTGATCATTGTAGATTATTTAAGTGGTTGCTGTTTTGTGAAAGCTGTCATTTATAGCAAAGGAGCAAAAAAAACCTATACACCTTCCTTATATTTTTCAAAATCGTTTTTATTGCAGTTTCAAGAGTTGTGAATACATATGGGCCTCAGACAAGGACTGAAGGTGTGGAAGCATCTCTGCAAAAACGTGAAACTGTGACACAAAATTGTGGTAACCCTGCTGTTGAAGAGAGGCTTCAAAATATGGAGATCCACTTGAAGCTTCCAACAGGTGTAGTTCATTTTGTATCCTTTCCTAAGGCTAACTTAATAAAGAGTACAGAGGAATGATTGTAAAATAATCTAACTAAATTGATATGCTGGCATAAATTGCAAGGGGAATATTTGTTTGGTCCCTTTAGTACTACGAATAAAACTCTGAGATTGGAATAGTATTAGAGTCAGTTCTATTTTGTTTTTGTTTACCATTGTTCGTTGCCAGATGTTTTACCCTCTAATGTTCTGAAATTGGAACTTCTTCATAAATACCTTGTATACATTGTGACTATACCAGGACAAATTGTAGCTTAGCTTATGAGCATTTCATAAGACCGTAAAATTTAAGTTTATACTTATTAAACAAATATTAGCGCAACCTGAAAATAAAATTTCTTGTGCAGGTTCAGTATCCATTATTCATACGTCTGAAAAACAAAAAGCCGTAAAACCCAAAGGTCTTTTTGTAAGTAGATCTGAATGAACCTGTAGACACGTTGAGTTTGTGTCCTTCGGAAAAATTTTTGCTTGGCCCGCACAAACCCAAATGAACTATAAAGCAAAACTTTTATCCAAAGGGCCCAAACTCAGGACCTGTAGACGCACTGAGTTCAGCCCTTTGGTAAAAGAAACTTCACTTTTGGGTTCATTCAGGTCTGTTCAGATTAAGTGAAGGGCCCAAACAGACTAAATGGACTATCTGAAAACTGGTTCAGATAAAGGATTCCTGATCTAGGTATTGATTATGGTGAGGGATTCTACCATCTGTGAGGAAAATCTGCATAAGTTCTAACTATACTGGACCATTTATCTTTTTGTTGGTACTTGACTCTTCATATACACTTGCATATGCATTTAAACACCTCTCCTTTTTATAGTGAATTATAATTGCTTTTCCATGTGCATATTAAGTATGTATATACTTATCTATAATTGTCAGCCTCTTAAATGTATTCAGCATCTTATTATGAACTTTTTTTGTCACTTTGGGAGCCAAAGTGTTAATGCAAATCACAGATGAACAAACAGGGAACAAACCGTTCAAATTAGTTAGCTGGCAAAAAGACACCACTAAATACTTATGGAAGACTCGGTTGAAATGAACATACAGGTACAGGAAAATCTATTTGAAAAAGTGATCTAATTAAATCAATAACTTTTTTTTAGGAAAGATAGTTCTGCTTTTTTTATCTTGGCAATTTTTCACATTCAAAGTAAGGAGATATATAATTTTGATTTTATTTACATGTATCTCACAATAACAATTATTTTTAAGTCATCTTCTAAGCAACTTGAATACTTCAGTAAAGTTGTATATTAATGTCTGAGCCTCTCACACCTACATCTTGGCTTAATATTTTCGCCCAGAGCTGTAACTCGTCAACTCAACTGAAGGCAGGTCCTGCAATCTGAGCATGAGCAAAGTTTCCCTGGATGCATCAGTGGCACTTAAAAATTGAACTGGCAGAAAATGTCAGGCCAGACAGTGCAACGGGAAAAAAAACTCAGCCAGTGTCCATTAGCATCTGAGAATGTTTAAAATGCTATCACTGCCAATTCTTCTCTTTCCAGCTGCTTTTATTTGTTTTTTATAGTCACACTTCTGAGATTCCAATAATCTTAAATTTTAAGAATCCCTCTGTAATCTCTTTGTTGTAAATAGCCCTAGTTCCTTCTTTCCTGCCTGCATTCATCCCATCACCGTCTTCTACATTCAATACCAAACTTTTTGGACTGTCCAGATGTTTTTACCCTTGTTTTCCTCCTTTAATGCTTCAGCTGTTTGCACCATCTAACTTTTAGCATCTGTTTGCTGATGCTTTTTTCCTATTTCCATTACTGAATGACGCGTTTGCAAAAGCTGTCTATACATCGAGTATACAGTACAGAAGAGGCCCTTGGAACCATTGAGTCTGCACTGACAAAGCAACCTACACTAGTCCCACTTAGCAGCACTTGGCCCACAGCCTTGAATGTTATGACATTTGAAGTGCTCATCCAAGTACTTTTTTTAAAGGTTGTATGGTTTCCCACCTCAGCTACCCTCTCAGGCAGTGCATTTCAGGGCCCAATCACCCCTCGGTGATTTTTATTTTTTGTCCTCAAATCCCCTCTAAATCTCCTGCCTTTCATCTTTAAAATTATACCCAACTAAGGGGCACAGCTGTTTTCTATCTGTCTTGTTCATGCCCTCATACATTTCAATCAGGTCTCCTCTCAGCTTTCTCTGCTGTTTTTCTAAAAAAAATCTAGCCTCTCTTCATAGCTACAGGCAACATTCTAGTGAATCTCCTCTCTACCCCCTCCAGTGCATTCACTTCCTTCCTATAATGCAGTGACAGGAACTGCGCACAGTACTGCAGCTGTGGCCTAATCAAGTTTTTTGAACATAACAAAACCTCCATGCTTTTTATAATCTATATGATGTCTGATAAAGATGTGTCCTGTATACCTCCTTAACTACCCTATTAACTTGTCTTGCCGCCTTCAGAGATCTGTTTCTGTTTTTGTTTCTTCTTTCCAGCATCTGCAATTCTTTAGGTCTTTTTTGTTACATGAATGCCTCCATCTCCCTTGTTTGATTACAGAGTGTATTGCTGTACAGTAATTTTCAATCATTAACAGGATTTCCTCTGACTGTAAGTTTTAACCATCTTTTTACAAATTTGCTCACACTATTTTCTTGCCATCAGTCTCCCCCGTTATTTTCCTTCCTGTGTTCTGCTCCTTTGTTTTTTGTACAATTAGTGAAGTTGATTGTGCTTCCTGGAGATTCCCCCCACCCCTCCCCCAGTGCATCTTGCTAGCTTAAAAGCTTTGTCAGCTCAATAATTATCCTTTTTTGCAAGGTGAGGGTCGCATCCCAATTCGCGAGGAGCCAAATCTCCTGTACCAGAACTTACGAAAAGGAACCAATCTTTACCACACTAGCACGTTAGCCACACATTAATTGTCCTGATCTGTCTGCTCCTGTTGGCAGTTTGCACATGGCTAGGAGGATAATCCTGTAAGTATTACCCTTGAGGCCCTGCTTTTTAATTTAGAACCAAACCCCTAATAGTCTTTCACCCAAAACTCCTTCCTGTTCTAATCAAGATTATTTGTTTCAAATTGGACTATAACAACAGGATTTACCTCCTCCCATCTGCGCCACCCTCTCTTACAAGTTCATCGCTAGCTCCACAAGGTTTCCCAGGTGAGCAACACAGTGACTCTTGCTAATTATTGAGAGTTGGTTCTCACCATGGTACTGTTTCTGTTCCATGAACTTTGAATTTCATTAATGCTCAAAGCTTGAAAGATTAAATAAATTTAGAGGATCTAATTTTTTTTTAATATTTCATTAAGTACCTTTTTAATCAATAGAAATCATATTTTTGTTTATATTATTTATAGATGGTCCAGTTCCGATTGATATTTATCAAAGGATCAAGAGGCTGGAGGATAGAATTCTTCATTTGGAAGGACTTTCTCCAGAATATTTTCAACATGTGGTGGGTTTATCAGCCTCATTGCCTAAAGTATCATGTTTTTAAGGTTAATTGTAAGCTTATAGAATTTTGCAGCATTGAAAGGTACCATGGGATCCATGGTATCTGTGTTAGCTTTCCGAAAGAGCTAGCTCCTTAATTCCATTCCCAAGTCTTTCCTAATACTTATCTTTAACAAGAACTGTGTGTTTGCTTTGTAAATAACACAACTTCACTGTCAAATGTTTTTATGGATTCTACTTCCATCACTACTTCCTGTCTGGCATTCTACATCACAATAAAGGGGAAGGAAATTTAACCACTTTCTTTGCTCTTTTGTCACCTTTTAAATGTGTAACTAAGAACTGGGCTAGCCTGAAAAAAATGTCAGATTTTTTAATTAAGGCAGCAAAGGTGCTCAGGATAACTGGAAAACTTCCCTGCTGTTCTTTGAAAATTGTGATGATTTACCATGTTGTATGCCTGAATGTCAGGACTAGACGGGGATGTTTATAAGCTCTTTCAAACAGCAGGGAAAATTAAAAAAACCTCATCCAAAATATACCGTTAAAACAATGTTTTACTCCAGAACAAACAAAGTTGCTGGAAAAGCTCAACAGGTCTGGCAGCATCTGTGAAGAAAATAAATCAGAGTTAATGTTTTGGGTCCAGCGACCCTTCCTCAGAACCCAAACCCGAAACATTAACTCTGATTTTTTCTTCACAGATGCTGCCAGACCTGCTAAGCTTTTCCAGCAACTTTATGTTTGTTCCTGATTTACAGCATCCGCAGTTCTTTCGGTTTTTATTTTAAAATGTTTTACTCAACCCTTGTACTGAATAACTATAAGGTTGCTTCATTCTTGCACCCTGTACTAATCTGGGATACACATAATGTGGACCTGATAACTTTTATATTTTCAGGACTGCCAGCTGTTTACATACTATTCCTTTATCTTGTTTTATCATAACAAAACCTGCTATATTCCTTCTTTACTTTTAAGTTGGCAATGTTGCCTTGTTTATTGAAAACATAGAAAGTACTCAAATTGTACCTCATGCATTCGCTTGGAGTTCAACAACAAGATCTCCTTTTCAGTCCCTAGTCAGCCTCACCCTTCCACAGACCATATTTATATGTATGCAAAAGGCTTTGTTTTTGGTTCTTCGATGCTCTTGACTGCATTTTGAGCTCTATATTCTTAACTTTTCTTCTTCCCATTTTAACCTCAATACATTGACTCACTTTAGATTAAGCTTGTAACTTATTCCCTTTAAAGAATACTAATTATGCTATGAACTTTACTTCAGTCCAAATGCTCTTGCTGCAATGCACAATTCTTGCCTCAAGTCTTTAGAGACCATACTTAAAGTCTTAACTTTACTTCCCTTATGTTATTTTCAGTACATTATTTTAATAGCCCTGTCTTTCTCAGTTAAACTCTAGATACAGGCTCACCAATGTCCTGCAAGTACTTAAGCTAACCTTTCTACTTTTGTATTAAATTCTGCTTGCAATAAATGATAGCATTCTATTCATTTTCCTAATTACTTGCTATAACGGCTTACTAACTTCTTACAATGTCATTGTAAGGGATGTCATTGCTTTTCTCCTTTGTGGAATGTACAGTTCACAAGTTGAACCATTTCTCTTCAACTTCCCATTGTTCAAATGCTGTTTTGTGACTAATCTTTTGTTTCCAGTCCACCTGAGCAAAATGCCTTTTCAACTCTGTGAAGTTAGTGATCATTCAGAAGAATATCTTTCATCCTTCTTTTTGTCCTTTTCCATTATTAATCTTAATTTAATTAACATGATATTATGATCACTTCCCCAAATACTTTCCCATCTTTAAACTGTATTTAATTCCCAGCACTAAAATCAATATTGCTTCCTTCCTTGTTTGGCTGGAAACATTTGATTAATAAAGTTCTTTGATATATATTTCAGGAGTTTGTCCTGCTCTTTGCCTGATAATAAATTTGGCAGAGTCACGCATGGCTTCCATTGCTAGCCCTGAGCAGTCATTTTCCCCCCTCACCGCAAACTATATCCAAAACGAAATCCCTGTGAGAAAGCAGTACAGCAATAGGGGACTCCTACATACCTGCCTTCCTCTGCTCTGTCTGGTAATTATCCATCCCCTTTCTGCCTGTTCAGTCTTTACCTACATTGTTAACGCCTCACTGAACATGCCGTCCATGACAATCTTAGCATTGCGGATGTTTCACAGCAAGTCCACCCATTCCTCAAAATGCAGTTTACTAGCAGCTGCAGCTGGACACACTTCCTGCATATTTGGTCGCCAGGGTCATGATTCGCCCAGTAGCATAAGAGGAGCATATCACAGATGTGAGCTCCATTGCCATGACTCACTTTAGATTAAGCTTGTACTTATTCCCTTTAAAGAATACTAATTATGCTATGAACTTTACTTCAGTCCAAATGCTCTTGCTGCAATGCACAATTCTTGCCTCAAGTCTTTAGAGACCATACTTAAAGTCTTAACTTTACTTCCCTTATGTTATTTTCAGTACATTATTTTAACAGCCCTGTCTTTCTCAGTTAAACTCTAGATACAGGCTCACCAATGTCCTGCAAGTACTTAAGCTAACCTTTCTACTTTTGTATTAAATTCTGCTTGCAATAAATGATAGCATTCTATTCATTTTCCTAATTACTTGCTATAACGGCTTATTAACTTCTTACAATTCCTATACAAGGACTCCTAGATTCCTCTGCATCTCAGAGCTTTGCGGTGTCTCAATATTTAGATAATTTTTTTATTCTTCTTGCCAAAAACATGCAGTGCACATTTTCCATCTTTGAATTTGTTTTGCCAAATCTTTGCCCACTCTCATAACTTCTTTGTAATATCTTCTTTGTAACCTCCTTTCAACATCTTCATAACTTACTGTCCTACCTATCTTTATGTCATCAGCAAATTTGGCCACCATACCTTCTGTCTCTTGTTTAAATCATTTTACGTAAATCGTTAATGGCTGAGTTCCCAGCATTGACCCCTGTGGCACACCACCGTTACATCCTGCTAACCTGAAAAGAACTAATTATACGTATTACTCTCTGCTTTCTGTTAGGCAGCCAATCTTTTGTCCATGATGATATGTTCCGTACAACATAAACTCTTATTTTCCATTTTTGATTAACTCAAATTTCTCATTTAGTTCATTACCTGAGTTGGTCAGTATCATTTCACCCTGTATACACATTAAATATCCTGCTACAAATCCTGCAAGGCAATAAGTTATTTTCGTTTCACACAAATATTGTCACGGTCGGAGGGATGTTTGGAGCTTATACTTACGAAACCCTCTTTAATAAATGATGCATTTAGACTATATCACAGCCTATATTAATTTTCCTGATAATTTGTGGGGGGGCTAAGAGTAGAAAAATGCTTTATTCAAATTATTTTGTTTTCATGGCATTAAAAATTTCAGCTGCTGGAAGTGTTTAGCTGGTATGATTCTGATTTTGCAATTTCTTCATGGTTTATTTCACATTATCAGTGATTATCACTAAAATGTGTGTTTTCTTAAATGAAACCAAGCTTGTAATGCACAAACTGATATCTTTTTCAGAATTTTCCAAGCAAAAGGCGTAAAGTTCATGAAACAATGCAGGTATGTTTTTTGCATTGATAGTCAATATTTTATACAATATAGTCTGAGGTCTTGGATATGTGATCATTTAATGATATTATAGTTATAGTACTTCCATATGAGGTGACAGGGAAATTTTTGTCAGTTTCCCTTCTTCATTTTCCTTTTCTTTTCAATCTTAGCAGACAAATGGTGACAAAAATCTGGGCTGCTGTTTTTGACTGGACGCACCACCTCCTGTTTATCTTAAACACCAATTTGAAAAACATGGAAAGCATATATTCTTTACTGAATCAATGGCTTTTCAATTCCTGTATACTGCATTTATTTTTGGTGTTAATGTGGGTGCCTAATTAGGCATAATCCACTGTTAATGCAGATATCTGCTTGCACTACAGGTGGCTTATACAAAGTATGTCAGAAAATAGCTTTTAAAGTTGAATACAAAAACTCAGTTACAATTTAATAATTAAAAGTATTTGCTTGTATTCTTCCCTCTTTTCAATCATTTCAATTTACAGCAAAGTGTGCAAATAGTTTAGTACTTAGATTTGAATATGTATGCTTTAGACTCTGCAAAGTGTCAACAAGCTAAATGTGTGGTTCCTAGTTACGTTACAGTGAAGGTAGAGCAATTTTCAGTCCACTATAAAAGTAAAATTAATATAATTCTTTCTTACTCTTTTATTTTACATACTTCATGTCGTTCTTCATCTCCCCTTCTTTAACATCATCTTGCCATTCTACTTTTTGCTGGACAATGAGAAAAGGAACTGATTGAAGTACCAGCATTGTCGTCTGTCAGCACTGGATTATCCAGTACTGTCTAGTGGATAGACAAATTTACTCTATCCCCTCCTGTCCCTTTACAATAACTCAAAAAGTGCCATTACTGAAGTATTGATGTGAATGCTTTCTTAATATGCTGCAGTGTCACCACTACTGATCAATGCTAACCTGTTTCCTTTGACGTTAAGTGCACATAACTTGCTATAATTAACAGATGAGTAGCAAACAATCTTGTTTGTCGATCTTGGGGAGCAAGAGAACCTGAACAATCTAATTAAAATAAGTCAGATGATTTTAATGCCTAAATGTCCTACCTTGTTGCTGCATCAAGTTCAGCTTGGTACCTGAATGCTAAAGCAAATAAACAGAGCTCACATTATGTAAAAGGCTGCTAAATGTGGCTGCGTTTTTTTCATTTGAAATGTTTGTGTTGCATCATGCTGCTTCTAAATGAGAAGCATAATTATAGTTGTTTATCCCAGTGTATTGCACATTTAAATACTTTAAATTATTTGTGTTGCAGGGCTACAGTCTGATAGAAATTGATGAGAAGATTAATGCGCTGAAGGCAGTTCTGTTGCAGAAAGCAAATGACCAGACTCTACCAACAGAAGCTGACAAGGTGTCTATTTAATGTCACTTTTCTTTTACTGGGCTTTATAATTTGACTTTAAAATCAGCCAAGTTAGTCAATTACTAATTTTTGAAAAATTTTTGTTTCAGAAAATGAAAACCTGCTGAAGTGACGTAATTAACATTCAGATGCTGCTGTCTGAAATCCATATTCTGGATTGAAAATGTCAGTTTGGCTCCTATAAAGTTGTTTCCTAGTTCTAGTTCTCAGATAAATGGGAAAAGCAGCCATTACTCTTCAAAAGTTGTCAGAACAGTGGAGACTTAGAAATATATGTATCCCAATATTCAGAATAAACAGAACTTGTGCTATGACAGGATGTGTATTATATTGTTTTGTACAAAATTTTGGATTTTGGCATCAGATTGTTTTAATGTTAAATGTATCAAATGCTGACCAAACAAGTGACTTGAGTAAATCATATTTTAAGCATTCATTGTTCATGTAACTATTGCATGTTAATTTTGTGTATGCGCAACAATGATGCAATAAAAGTTTTGATAATGTTCATATTAATTTTTAAATTTTACTTTGTAAATGATTGTTTCCCTACACCACCTTCTGAAGATATAAAATGCCAATCTTGAGAAATGTGCAATATTAACAGGCTTGGTTTAAAAAAAGCTGTGAACTTTTGCATATGGAGAGATGCTGGAATTAGACCTGTGCTTCAGAATTAAACTCGCCCTAAGTAATATGTTTCATTACAGCTTCAGCATGAGGTCTACCCAATAATGTGCAAAATTGTCCATGCACGTTTCATTCACAAAAAGCAGGACAAAACCAGGCCAGTTACTGCCTGATCTGTTTACTCTTAATCATCAGTAAAGTGAAGGAAGGTTTCATTGACAGTGTTGTAAAGTCTCACTCATTGAACTAAAACCTGGTCACTGGCTCTCCATTTGGATTCTGGCAGGGCTATCTTGCTCCTGAACTCATTATACTTTTGATCCAAACACATGCAAAAGAGTTGAACTTGACATGATTTTAACAGTGATAGTGCAGGAATGGCAGTATATTTATAAGACAAGATGGTGAGTGGCTTGCAAAAGAACTTGCATGTGGTGCTATTTCAGTATATCTGCTGCCCTTTTCCTAGATGGAAGTGGTTATGGGTTTGGAAGGTGCTATCTAAGGAGCTTTGGTGATTTTCTACAAAGTGTCTTGTAGATAGTACACGCTATTGTAACTGAGTGTCAGTGTTGGAGGGAGTGGATGATTGTGCATGAGACACCAATCAAGTGGGCTGCTTTGTCCTGGATGGTGTCAAGCTTCTTCAGTGTTGTGGGAGTTATATTCATCCAGGCAAGTGGGGAGTATTCTGTCAAACCCCTGACTTGTCTTTGGGGAGTCAGGAGGTGAGTTACTTGCTGTGGTATTCCTCATCTCCGATCTGCTCTTGTATCCACTGAATTTATATGGCTAGTCCAGTTCTATTTCTGGTTAATGGTAACCTCCAGGATTTTGATAGTGGGAATTCATTGATGGTAATGCTATTTAATGTTGAGTGGCAGTTGTTAGATTGTCTCATATTGAAAATGGTCATTCCCTGGCAGTTTTGTGATGGGAATGTTTATTTTCTCCTTTTCAGCCCAAGCCTGGGTATTTTCGTGGTATCATTGTTTTAGGACATGGACTACTTCAGTAACTGAGGAGTCGCAAATGGTGCTGAACATTGAGCAATCATCGGCAAATATCCCCATTTCTGACCTTATGATGGCGGGAAGGTCATTGATAAAGATGTTGAAGATGGTTAGACCTAGGGCACTACCCTGACTAACTCCTGCAGAGATGCCCTGGAGCTGAGATGACTGACCTCCAATAACCACAACCATCTTCTGATGTGCCAGGTATGACTCCCACCAGTGGAGAGTTTGCCCCCGATTCCCATTGACTCCGGTTTTGTTAGGCCTCCTTGATGCTACATTCAATTAACTGTGACCTTAATATCAAGGGCTGTCTCTCTTGCCTCACCTCTGAAATTTAGTTCTTTCCTCCATGTTTGAACCAAGGCTGTAATGAGGTCAGGAGCTGAGTGGCCCTGGCAGAACCCAAACTGGGTGTCACTAAGCAGGTTATTGCTGAGCTTTGTGTGTATGTACAGGACATACCTAGACAATTTTCCCCATTATCATATGGATCCCAATGTCATAACTGTACTGGAAGAATTTGGCTAGGCATGCGACAAGTTCTGGAGCACAAGTCTTCACTACTATTGCTGGAATGTTGTCAAGCCCCATAGCCTTTGCAGTACCGTGCCTCCAACCATTTCTTGATATCATGTGGAATGAATTGAATTGGCTGAAGACTGGTATCTTTGATACAGGAGGCAGTCAATGGATCATTCGCTTGGCACTTTTGGCTGAAGATTGTTACAAATGCTTCAGCGCGCTATCCTTTTGCTGGGCTCTTCCATCATTGAGGATGTGGATATTTTTGGAGCTCATACCTCCAGTACATTGTTTAATTCTCCACCACTATTCACGATTGTGCAGAGCTTAGATCTGATTTGTTGGTTGTGGCCTCACTTAGCTCTGTCTATTGTTTGCTGCTTATGCTGTTTGGCACACAAGTCGTCCTGTTTGGTAGCTTCACCAGATTGACACCTTATTTTCAGGAATGCCTAGGACTGCTACTGACATGCCCTCCTGCATTCTCCATTGAGCAAGGCTGGATTCACTGACTTGATGGTAATGATAGAGTGGGGGATATGCTGTGCCATAAGGATGTGGATTGTGTTTGAATGATTCTACAGTTGTTGATGGTCCACAGTGTCTCATGGTTTTTCTAGTCTTGAGTTGCTAGACCTCTTTGAAGTCTGAACCGTTTTGGACTTTTTCTCCACAAGGACTGTGCGGCGGTCAGTCTTGCTGATATTGTCATGGACAGATGCATCTACAGCCGGCAGATTGGTGAACATGAGGGCAAGTATGTTTTTCCACCTCATTTATTCCCTCAGCACCTGCTGCAGACCCAGCCTAGCATCAATGTCCTTTAACACCCAACCAGCTCAATCAGTACTGCTGCCACTTTTGGTGGGAGACATAAAAATCCCCCACCCAGAGTAGCCCTTGTTGTTCAACATGGAGGAGCACAGTGTCATCAGCCAAGAGAGGATGGTACATGTTAGTCAGCAGGGGGTTTGTTTGCTGATGTCTGACCTGATACCATGAGACTTCATGGTGTCTGGAATCCATGCTGAGGACTCCCAGGGCGTTTGGGAATGGGTATATTTATCAATATGATGTGTCAGTGACTGTCTAACATACAGATATATCTGTGTGAAAACAATCAGTTGAGTGAGTCAACAATATTTACCAATTAAAATTGCATAAGATACTTGCAAAAGACCTCTGCTGTCAACTCAAAGTAGCTGAATATGTAAAGTGTAATCAAGACTTTATTTAAGAAATGTATAAAAATTAAAAATGGTAACACAACTAATTGTTACATATCTACAATCTTGTTTTGAAGTTGATGTCTGACTGCAGTTTTTTTTTAAAGGAGCTTGAACCTTGAGTATCTGGGCTTCTGAGATGCCTGAGACTTCCCAGAAGTCTCACTGTGCTCAAAGGTTGTCTTAAGGTTATAGAATTTTGTAACTCCAAGCGTGTAGCAACAATCTGTTCTAAAAGAAAATGATCAACATTTCATAGAATCATAATACAATCCCTACAGTGTGGAAGCAGGCCCTTCGGCCCAACCAGTCCACACCAACCCTCGGAGCATCCCACCCAGACCCATCCCTCTATAACATTCTCAGACTGCCTCCTTTACTAGGTCTAATGAATATAGTTACAGATGAGGTTAGGATGAGGGTTTTTACCTTTTTAAAAGAAGCAAAACTGAGCATTCACGGTATTCTGTAGTTGGATGGTTGTAAGTCTTATCTCTTCATTGTCTTCTTGAAAACATAGCATGAAGTCAAAACTTGAGGTGAGTTTTTTGAAAAATGTGATTTACTAAAGCAAGTGAATACTTCTTTATGTGGCAAATGAAACTTTGAAGTTTGAAATTATTTCATCTTCATGTGTTGTCAGTATTCTACATGGGGTAAACTATATTTGAATTATTTATATTCATCTTCAAATTTGAAGTAGAAATTCAGGGCTTATCAAATTTGGATGATTTGCTAAATGTTTAAGATCTGAGTTCAGTATTTTAATTAAATCAGAATGTTTCAGTCATGTTCAGTACTGCTGCAGAAAAATAGCAGCAAGACTAAGCGATTTGGTCCTTCGAACCTCTTTCACTATTCAGTAAAATCGTCGCTTTTTGTCTTAAGTTCCCATCCATCTTGCCATACCTTGATCCTCTTAAAAATGTTATCAGCCCATGTTGTATATGCTCCATGATTGAATATCTGGTGTCCTCTGGGGTAGAGAAAATCTAAAGATTCACAACACTGAACAAATTTTTCAACCGTGATCTAAATACCTGAATTATTATACTGAGACTGAACTAGCCAAAGAAAACACCTGCGCTGATATATCTCTAAGAATTTTATGTTTCAATGAGATTGCTTCTCGTTCTTCTAAATTCTAGGAAATATCGGCCAACTTAATTCAATCCTCTTCAGAATTGTCTCTTCATCTGGAATCGGTCTAGTAAACCATTCATTGCACGTCTTTCAAGATAGGTATGTCTCCTTTTGCAGAAGGAGATATAAACTGCATATACTACTCGAGATGTGGTCACATTTCTACTCCAATTTCTTTGTAACGAAGGCAAACATATTATTACAACCAGGTGAAGAGTGATGAATTGGCATCCCTCTGTTCAGCCTCCTTAGTTGATTGCAACAAATGTTTGTTCTGTTTAGAACTAGACTATACCTCTTTCCAATTAAAGTATAGTTAACAATGTTTACAGTAAGCAATAAACAGCCAGCCACAAGGTTTTCCCAAGATATTTAATGAAACCATAATGTCAAGCATACAGCCTTTTTGAACTGTCTCTCTCTAACACTCGTGTGTATATATACACACACAGGTACAAAATGAGAAGGAAGATAACTGATATTTACAATCCATTGGTCATTTTTGAAGCTTAAAAGTGTAACCTGAGGACAAGATTTATTGTTTGGTTACTTGACTGACTACTTCACAGCAGTAATGAATAATGCAGTTATTTTTGAAGTTCTCAGCTTCATGATAGTCCTCCTTTGGAGTTGTTTCTGTGGGAATGACGTCATTTTCTTTGAGAGAAAATGTGTGGAGACAGCAACATCCCCTTCAGTAATCTCCCTAAAGCTGTCAGAACCTCCTTTGAAATACTGGTTCTGGTATTTATTTTCAAAAGTTCCTTTTCTGTGGGTCCGTCTGTGATCAGCTTGGTACCAAAGTCCAGCATTTATCATTTGTTAATGTTTCATGAGACAATGACAGTAGTAGGTTTTGATGGGTCTGGATTGTAGGAAGAGTCTTTGTACCTCACCCCTTTCCAAGGGTGATCCGTTGGCTCTATCACTTCCGTTTGAGGTAGCTTTGTGTTTTTAAGCAGCTTGTCTT